GGTTTTGGCTGCAGTGGCAGAATTAATTAAAGAACGCAACGGTACGTAATCAGTACATATTTGGACGATATTGTTGTTCCTTCTTCTTGAACGCTAAATGTCGCTTAATTTTCTCACTTTTTATCCGTACTTGTAGTGAACTTCACTTGGATTTGGGGCTTAATATAGCGATAGTGGACAAGGTGTGAAATACACAACGTGGAGATTTCTAGTTTTGGTTTTTGGGCTTTTTTCTCGAATATGCTCGCCCAAATTCACCCCTCCTCCCCCCTTCCCTCCCCCTCCCCCTCATTTCATTCTGATGCGATCAAAACAACGCAATTTGCGTAGCTTCTATGAACACAGTTTTGAGAATAGGGTGTTTGCAGCAACGCACACAAATCCTACATTTCGCTGCCTGCTACATTATGTCTTCCTGGAGCTCATGCTACTACGAGTCGCAATCTTTTAAAATGTTCCTTCCTATTTGAAGTCATCTACTTGCTTGTGCTATTCTGAGGGATTTTTCGCTGGCTGTGCGGTCACACTCATCCGTTTTCCCCTCGAAACTGGGCGATTCGTATAATATTTGCTTTTCCTTGAAATGGATGGCCTTTTGTCGAACTGAAATGCCACATATTTTGCAGTGCATTTTTTTTTCAAAGGTTAAATTTTACTTTATTTGATTTCTATTCTGCTGTCTTCATTTGTTCCTTTCTCTTTTTATTGTTTTCTTTTTCATTCACCCTGCTAATCGAATACCTTCGCTCTCAAGGGAATACCTGTATTCCAGGGTCGGAAACTGATGTTGAATACTTCGCAGCTCTAATCACAACTCTCGAGGGATCCCCTATCAGTGAACCTTCTAGAACTGCTGCTGTTGCATTTCTTTTACAGTTGATCGTAAAAAAAGTTCCGAAAGAAGTCCTCCAATCGCAGTTCACAAAGATCGTTCAGGTAGGCCTGTTCTGTTGAAAAGCCTCTTTTCATGTCAGTGAGTATTAATTTTGTTCCAGGTTCTGTACACTAAAATGCTGGAAAATTCGGAAAGTAGCGAAGGATCGGCACTCAAATATTTGCTTTCGGTCCTAGGCGTTGTTTTGCGAGCTCAACCTACTGGGGTTTGGAATGTCGCCAATACCAAGTTTGATATTTAATTTCTTGTTTATTTTTGTGATTGCTGATTTTGGTGTCCACATTAGCATCGCATTTCAGAAATATGGTGGTGTCGGTCGCATCTCTCTGCGCTCATGAGAAGCCTTGGGTGCGAACTATGGCGCGTCGTGTTGTTCGAGCGGTGCTAACTGATCCTATTACTGCAATGGATAATGGTCTTCATCCTGCATCCCCTAGCGTTGGAATGTTTATACAACAACAGCTACAATCAGCACTCAGTGAGTCTATCGAATGCAAGACATTCCAACAAAATCTACCCAGGGCACATGATCTTGATGATGGGAGAAGTTACACGACAAGCTAAAGAGGACTATTCAGAGGGCCCAGATATCGGGTTCCATTCTCATTCTAATCTTACACTTGTCATCCTGGACCACTCATTAGGTTTAGATGCGCACGTTTCTCAAATCACGGGCAATCTTCTTGATCTGATACCGTCTCCCGTAATGCAGTCGTTACAAAATTCATCACTTCAGGCTCCAAAAATGGTGAAACGACAGCAATGCGATACCTGTGTCTACTCGAGGGAGTTATGCATAAAATGCCTAGTCCTCTATTCAAGCAGCTCGCTGAAAATATCTTGTCGTCTTTCGCCATTGCGGATCCCATGGTGTGTTTGTGTTCTTCTTCACAGTTTCTCTTTACTCAATCACTTGTCATCAGAATGAGTTTAGGTCAAATGCAGCGCATTGCAATGCCTGCACCGCTGCCTTCAGCGTCAGCCATGCGACGCTGCGCTTCCAGTTGAGACAAATGTGTTGTTGGTGAAAGCTCTCAAACAGTTATCTCCACCTTATGAAGATATCACAGTATGTGCCTACTGGATGCAGGCTCTTGCAGAGGCTCATGTGTGTCTTACTGCGAAGGATCCTCACAGGTATTAGCTGGGGACTTTTCTTTTCTCAATATGTCCTGATCATTTTTCACAGTGTTTATCAACACCTTTATCACTTCCGACAAATAGACATTCTTTTTAATCTTGTAAATAGAATTCCTGTCCATTCTGTAGTGTACCGTTCATAGTTATGGAAAGTCTGAAGTCTTTATGGCGTTTCACCCTGTCTACCATATTTTGGTATTTCTGGTGAACATAATTTGTTTAGGTGTTATTCGCTACTACCTGCAACTCTTGAGTTAATGGTTAAGCTC